CCTTCGGAGCGAGGGGTGATCATAGCGCCCATGGCGGTATGGTCCTCGAGTAGCAGGACTGTCATTCGAATGAGAAAATCTTAAACAAGGAAAAAAAACACATACGCAGGTGATTCATGCCGGGGGAGTTATCAAGTTGAGGAACAGCCCTCCCAGGGCGGCGCATATAGCTGCAGCGCTTAGAAGAGGCGCAATAAAACCATTTTAAAAACAGAAAAAAATATCCTTGTTCAAAGACTACTGGCGACTGAGCGCACGTAGTGCTCCCTCTAGGAGTAGCGAAGTCCTGCTCTATCAAAGAGAGTGATCTGCACCAGAAGCAGGGTTAGCTCAAGCTGCAAAGAAAATCACGGACGAACCCCGAAGTGTGCGAGCCGAGAGTCAACTCGACTAAGACAACAGAAAGGAGAAGGAGGGTCGATGAAGAGGTCGAAAAGGTAAAGAGACCTGACAGTCAGGGGTCGAGGTTTAAGTAGGACTGTCTCGCCCTTGTGTCAGAACTTACCATAGCGACTCGAATTCGGGGTGGACAATTCTCGATCGAAGATCGTCCGTGTCGACGGGGTGGAACCTGGTGGAACTGGCTATTTCCGCCCTGTAACTGAGAGATCTTACGTGCAAGAACAGACTATGAGTTTTCTGGCTAATCCACAGTACAGTCTCTATCCACGATGAGCTGGTCCTTGAACATTTAGCTGGTAAATCTTACTTCGAAGTCCTGAATGCAAGGAAGGTAGTTAAACATTGCTCAGCAGATCTTGTCTTCGTCACCTGAAAAATTGGTTAGCGGAGTTGTCTCGGTGTCAACTGGTCTCTCTGGAAACGGCACGCTACAGTACGAGCAGCGGAACGGTTGTGGAGCTTATCTTCATCGCAACCAAGGTCTCATAATTTGTCAGACTTGTGAATTCCAATGACAAGTCACGTCAGTTTTATAGGTATTCAATTTGGAATGTCGGAACTCACCAATAATAAAGATAAGATAAAATCTAGGTGTTCAAACGAATCAATATATTCGACCGTCAAGTCAATAAGTCTAAAACACCGTTACATACATGTATGACACCCAAAGTTACACAGGATATTTAAAAAATGTTTATCCATACGGTGTCTGAGCGTTCATAGAAAACTTACTTCAGGACTGAGAAAGACTGGTATGCCAACTGAATCAGAATGCGCCTGGCTTTGACGGCTGAGCCGACAGTACGGGTCGTCTGGTAGGAGAAGACAATACGCCCTGCTGACTGTCATTATGACGTGCATCCACGTTGGTATGAGTTCGTGATGGAGAGCAGGACGAGCTCTCCGACTTGGATGAAACGTGCCGCACACCCAAATCAGCACGCTTTGCGTCCCTGAATGCCTTCAGGCGATCCGCGGCCTTTGATGAACCTGTCTTTTCTGGGGAAGTGAGGACATGGGATGTGGTGTGTGAATGGTTTGTTCGTGGTGCAAGAGAGGCCGCGTCGTCGTAGACATGACGGAGCGCTGGAGGGTACAGAGATTGGGCGTGAGATGCTGCACCTCTTGGCGACTCTCTGAAGCGAGAACTGAGAGATGGTTTCCGTTCACGCTCGTCAAAGAGCCAGTCAGGAAGATCTGAAGGGTGACGGGCTTTTGCAAGATGATAAGCTTTCATTACGCGGATCAAATGCGAGTCACGTCCAGGAGCCGTTTCTATGATAGAAAACTTAGCAAGACCACAAAGGGTAACGATTGATGTACACCCACCTTCGTCGTCTGAGGCGAGGATCCTTGAATACCATGCTTTATTGACATTGACTGTCAAGACACTGGCAGCCGCAGCGACACGATTCCATATACTATCACCATTTTCCAATATTGAAAAATATCTACCATGCTGGGGGTCTGAGATTACAGTATAAACAGAAGAGTGAAATATGAAACTGTGAATCGCGAACCTTCATGTTGATCCGAATCGGTCTTGAATGACTTATCAGGTCTATTGGATTTGTCTGGCGGCTCAAAATAATCTTCTAAGCTAGTGGACGAAGATAATTGACTATTCATTCTCCCCTGGAATGAGAAGGATGAAGTGGATGATTCGGAACCGGCCGAAGTGCTCGAGTCGCGACTGCCTGCAGGTATTTTGGAGCGAGAATCAACAGTGGTTCCTATAGTACGAGGCCCAGAGCGAGTGGATACCCGGGCGACATGGACGGCCCTATGAGGGCGTAACGAGCGAGTAGTAGTGAACGCAATGGGCTGGCTCTGGTTTCGCGAGTGACCTTCCACGAAAGGCGCGTCTCTCTTGAGACGAGTGCATGCGGGGGAACTTGGCAGGCCGAGCTTTCCAGCCTGGAGGGAAGGACGGTTCGATTGCATGGACGACCAGCGTGTGAGTGATGTATGGAACGAAAAGATAAAGAGATTTAAAAGGATGTTAATGTACAGTATCCAGTCCAGCTGGATGAAACGTAAATAAGAATAAGGAGCGTTGTTGGTCGACTTCAAGTAGTGTTGTCGACAGAAAGCGCTTACATAATAGTGAATAGTAAGCATGTCTGACATTGAAATCGAATTTGATTGCTGAGCACTCTCTCGGCGAGTCTTTCAAAATCAATTAATTGAAACACCCCTAGCTGTATAGTGTCACCGACAAGTAAGAGGTGCTCGAGGAGAGATCAATTATGTAATTACTTTCTTGTGATACCAGGCACCGATGTCGCAAGACCTTCTACATCAGTGTGGCCTGGAATCAAAATATTCATAACTTGCGCCTCGTTGTTTCACTACCATCATGTCAAATATGTTATCTGCGTGTCGGCGTGTAGGTCCACGTGCTCGACAAACTCTCGCTCTAGCTAGGTATGCCAGTACGAGCACCAAGGAAAAGTTTCGAGTGCTTGTTATCGGAGCAGGTGCGTACAATTGATGGAATTCTTTGATTAACGTTGACGAATCTTCAGGTTCTGGTGGGTTGACTGTTGCCAACCAGATATACAACCGCTTCAAGGCTGCTGGAAAGCCTTTGAATGCAGGAGATGTGGTGGTCCTTGATGCAGCAGACTATCACTACTATCAAGTAAGCGCTCAGAATCAGTAACATACTCATGCTACTTTTTGATGGCTCCTCCTTTCAAGCCTGGCTGGTGACGGTTTTTATCCATAGACTGTGATACGACACCTGACGTATCCTCCAGGACTTTGGTGGGTGCTGGTCTTGGCCGCAAAACAGATTTCAGACGACCGCTCGCGTCCCTATTCCCGCCACATATCATGCACATTGCAGAGAATGTCAAGTCATTCTACCCGGAATCCTCGTCAGTTACGACAACCTCAGGTCGGACAATTTCATATGGTTCGCTTGTAGTGGCAGCAGGTTTGAAGATAAACTGGGACGGCATCGCTGGCTTGCCCCAGGCTCTCGCTGATCCTTCCTCTGGTGTTTCATCAATATACTCCTATGATACCTGCGACAAAGTATGGAACGACGTAGATGCTCTTAGATCCGGAAATGCTATTTTTACACAACCTGCAGGTGTCATTAAATGTGCAGGAGGTAAGTCAAATTTCTCTGTGTATGGTGGCTGCTTACCGTCTTTTAGCTCCGCAGAAAATCATGTGGATGGCCTGGGACAGATACCAGAAATCTGGGCGAGGAAATAACATCAAAATCGATTTCATGACTGGCATGCCAACCATGTTTAGCATCAAGAAGTATTCGGATGCCCTAAACGCCCTGCGCATCGAGCGGGGTATCGGAGCAGAGTTCCAACATAACTTAATTTCCATCGATGCGGCGAACAGGAAAGCAACTTTCAAGAAGGCTGACGGTTCGACTGTGGATCGTGATTTCACCCTCCTGCATGTCACACCGCCGATGGGACCGCTAGACTTCATCAAAGGATCGCCCATCGCTGATCCAGCGGGCTGGGTAGAAGTCGATCAGGGAACTCTCAGACATGTCAAGCCCGAGTTCGGAAACATATTTGCCTTGGGTGATTGCTCCTCCCTACCCACTAGCAAAACGGTTGCCGCCATTACATCCCAAGCCCCTGTCTTAACGGAGAATTTGTTTTCGGTTATGGACACCGGCAAAGTGAGCAGTGCCAAGTACGATGGCTATACCAGTTGTCCGGTCCGTCTACCTCCTAACAACACTGTCCACTTGACCAAATTCCAACTTTAGCTTTTGACGGGATATGGGGAATTGATGCTAGCCGAGTTCAAGTATGAATTTGTGCCTAAAGAGAGTTTTGCCAATTACCTGGGCGATCAAACAAAGCGGAGAAGGTTTGTCCCTTGTGATTCCCACTTGCGTCATTGCATTGAACCCGCCACATCGCTCAGATTATTCTATCACTTCAAAAAGGTACGGAGTACAATTGGAGTTGTAGCTTCTAAAATAGGCTTATTGTCTGTGCCATTCTTAGGACCTTTTTCCTTGGGCATACTGGAACCGTATGGTGAGTCTTTGAAACAGTTCGTACGGGGCTATCGGAGTATCTCATGCTGCGCCGTACGCCACAGGTTGACGGAAAATGGTTCGGCCCCTCAGGATCATTCCGTCCCAAGTTTGTGTAATAATGACATTGAGGCACCTGATGTTCCCACGTACCGGGCCTAATTAGACGTGACAGCGGGCCCTGATGGCGGGTCTTAGTAGACCGGTTTTTAGCTGTACACACCCAAATGAATAATTATTCAATACTGAAGGGCCTTGGGGGGTGAATGGATAGTACTCGGCACTATGAGGGGCTCGGCTACTGTGACCCGTGTGCCTGCTGCCATATTTAGATGCCGGCGGCACCGGGCATAGCCGCTGTCGACGTCGGAACCTTCGTGCTCGCTGTGCTCAACGGCGAGCTCATGTATCTCATCAAAATGAACACAAATTTAGAGCGGACTTTTTGCAATAGGTAGCTAATAGTCGTATACATTGTTTTTCAGTCAAATAACAAGCCTTTCAGTGCTAAGCTATCATGGGTTATACAATTAAACTTCTTCCTTGCTGGTGTCATCCTCATCTGTCATCTCCACAAATTCTGCACTCTTCGGAGCTTGTGTAGATAATCCCAATGCTTGTACTTGCTTCCTCAGACATGTGTTCTCCTTGCCATTGCCCTTGCATTTGTGTGGCACACCTGTATCACCACACTTCTTGTGTGGCTTGCCAATGACCTCCCCTTTCTTGTGGTGCACAGTGAGTTGGGAACTGTACTTGTCTCATTGATGTGGAGACATTCTGAACCAATGGCAGGAGCCATCCTTCAATGCATCACAGATTTTCCAGAGGGCACTGAGATCATTTAAGCTGGTTGGGGACTGGAATGGTATGCCCTCAGGCTAACCTCTGACATTGATCCCAAGCTTCTCCTTAATAGCAATATTGAAGTTTGCATAGTTGATTTGAACATTGTGCCTTTTAGCCATAGTCCCTGAAAACCTTACAGTAAGCATTTATTTTGATACAATGAAAGGGGGGGGGGAATGCACTTAAACCTGAATTAAGGAGATGAGTGCAAACACATTGCATATTCTGCACTGTCTCACATTCATTGATGTCTACTGTGAATATATTAGCATAAGTATCCAGTAAAAAAGTGAAGTAACACACTTTGGCCTGCCATACACACCCATTGTTCCAATTTCCTTGCAATTTCATCAGCCTCCATTTGGAGGACATCCTCCCAAAAGTCCATGACATTGTCCATCCCAAACCATGTTGCCTGAGCAGTATCATACACATGTCCATGAGAGGCAAAGAGACATGCATAAATTCCAGTTTGAACAGCAAGAGCATTGAGCTATGAATTTGTCAGGTATTAGAAAGTGGTGTAACACACCTACCATCCTAAAAACATTATCTAAGGTGGATTGAGTATCATGGGCTGCTACTGTGTTGTTTTCATGAACACTTATATTCTGCAGGGCATGGTGCTCATTAAGTTGGTTGATGTATTCTTGCTGATGTTACAATCATGTGCACCCCTATTCATTTTCTCTCTTTCTTTACCTTGTATTACATCATGAGCTGCATGATGCCACCGCTAGACTTATCTCTGACTCATTCTTGTATTACATCATGATCACTGCTGTCATCACTAGATGACTCATCACTTATTGCTTATGTGTCCTTTCTTATCTCCTTATCTCTGACTCATCGTCAATCCCATGCCTGCCCTAAAGTAACTATGATTCACTATATATAGTTGATGATGTGTCCTGTAGTTCTTCACTTTAATCTACTAGGTTTTCACCTGAACATTCCTTCGCTTAGGACCTCCAATCCTAAGTCATCTGAACTGATATTCAAGCTGGAGACACTCTCTTTGTCTTGTCTTACGACCCTTGCATTTGCAAGGTCTTGACTTAACTTCAGCCATTGCTCTTATCAAGCTGCTGTTGTTACAATAATCCTAGTTCATAACAGCTGATCCTTGGGTGATAGGTTCTGCAAAGTTTCATCATCATTCACCATTTCTTGAATCTTGTCAAGTGTATGTTTTGCCCTGTGAGGACAATCTATTTTGTTTATATGAGTATCATACATGATGAATTTAAAAACACAAAAACCAACCTGTGTTGACTTCCTGGGTTTTTGTGTGCATCAGAGCATTGGCGAGTTGCACATTACAATGCCCCTTGTAGTGCTTTTTGCCTCCAATGTGTTTGTTGACCTTGTCTTGAGTGATGCCATGTTTGAGCATAATAGCCTCAATCTTCTCATTCTGCTCTGCAAGTAGCAATTGAATTGTGGCAGTGAGTACATTGTCAGCTTCCCTCCATTGTTCTGATGAAATCTTGCAGGAAGCTCTTTGTGTGTTGGCTTATGCCTTCTGTGTAGCATTAAGTGGGGCCTGAGATGTTAGCACAGGTCAGCTTGGATTCCTCACAGCCCAGGATGAATTATTTGCATCTGCAGGTATGTCAGTTTTCCTGGTCTCCATGTGCAACTCAACAAGTACTTCCTCATGGTTATTTTGCTGGGCTGGCTGGCTAGACTCATAATCTGCTGCACTGATCTGGTCAGACACTGGACCAGGGGTCCCAAAGGCAAGAGCCTTGCACCAAGAGTCAGTCAGCCTCTTCCATAGCTTAGTCAGCCAGTAGCACAGCTAGCTTGCACATAGCTTACACAATCATCATCTCACTCACTCATCAGCTCTGCTCTAGGCTTAGGCTGCTGGCCCCTGCTCCAATGTGGTGAACAGAGAATATTTGAACTTGCCAAATCTTATTGCCTTAGCATTTGTCTCAGCTTGCAGTCTCAGTTGCACCTCAGTAAAACAAAAAGCCTCAGCCATACTAGACAGCACATTTGGTTGCAAGTTAGAGCACCAGAAGACAATGTGCTCGCCAACAAGTACATATCAAACAAAAGCCCCCATTTATGTCATGTTATGCCAGAAGGCTAAGCTAGACAGCAGGTGTCCATAAAAGACACCTGCACAATACAAAAAAGGACTGTATCAGGCTGGCATTTTACATGGACCACTATCAGAAACTGATGAAACATAGCTTAAGGTGCAGAAAAGCCGATGGACAAGCAACAACAGAAAAAGATTTAAAGAAAGCAGGCTTGTGAAAAGCAAACTCATCAACAGCAACCTCTGAAGTGTCCTCCCTACTTGATATATCAGAAGAACACTCCCATAGTTCATCGCTTATCTCACTCAGTAGCATTGAGGAACACAACATCATCTCATTCCCAGAACTCAATGTCCTAGTTGTAGACTTAGAGCTACCCAAACTCTACATAGAGCCACTACTATGCTACACAAAAATAAAAGCACTCAGATCTACCTCAATAATCCCTGACTATGACCTTGACATATTCTTTGCACTTGCACAACAGAAGAACATGCTAACAGAAATGCCAAAAATCTTTCATAGAGATGGATGCAAGTCAAAGAACCCAATGGACTTCCTCAAGTCGTTCAACCAGGCCATGAGACAACAGTCTATCACCATGCTCACAGCAAGTTCAAAAGCAACCTGGGCAGCATTTGTAGTCAAATTTGAAGTTCAATGGCTGCCAATTATAGTCACAGAGAAGACTAAGGCAGAGTTCAAAAGGGAACTGATGGAACACCTCTTGTCAGACACAGATGTGGGAACAAAGACCACACTGTACAACAGAGAGTGCTGGATGCATGAAGCCTGGGTGACCAAGGCATTGCAGCTGGCTAATAGAGCAGGGATTGCAGCAAGCACTTCAATAATTTGGCAGGTCAGAGGGCAACTGCTAAGCATCATCAAAGATCTGTTAAAGGCTGATGAGTATGTGGATTGGGCTGCATTCACAATGGAGGTCAAAGGACTCAAGGGCAATAGATTCCTAGAGAAGAAGGAGCAGTATAACAGACAAGAATATAAAGTCAATGTGCTATGTGTAGATGTTGTGTGCTTACAACAGTGCAATCCTACACAGAACTCACTTGTAGCACTCCAGAACCAGCTCTTGCAAATGTCCATCAACCCTATGAAAGCACCAAACACACCCTTAGGCAATAGCACTGTTTTATGCATGCCTACCTCCCAAATGAACCAATACCAGCAGCCCACATTCACCCATCAGCCAGTAACATCCCCCCAATTGCTCATGATCAAGGAAGACCTTAAGAATGCAATACAGCAACTTGTCTTATCATTTATACACTACCCAGACACTCTAGCAGGTCAGGCAGCATACACAGCACAGATTGCACAATGGAACACAAAGTGGGGAGAGCACACAAGGGTCACACAGGAGACAGGATACCCCCTAAAGCCAGGGACCACAGTCATTGCCTCAAGCAAGTGCTTCAATTGTGGAACTCATGGATACAACAGTCAGAACTGTGTACTACCAGCAAACCATGCAGAATGACTCTCCTGCAAAGAGGCTGCTTGGAGAGCAATTGTGAATAAAGTGTTAGGTCTGTTCAATCAAGCAACAGTTACCCCAATATCACTCGTCACCAACCAGACCCTGGAGTACACTGCAGCCTGGATCAAAGAGATATCAGAGCAGGATGAGGGAAAAGCCAGCAGGTCAGCATAGAAAGAAGCACTATGCTGACCCGAAATACCAAAAGTACTCTAGCTAGAGCGCCTGTCCTCACACACAAAGAGATGTACTCAGCAGGGCACATAACAACAATTAAGGACCAGATGGACCATGAAGAAGCAGTACTATTCATACATTCCATCTCACTAGAAGGGCCACAAGGGGAAGCAGTAATAATCTGAGGGTTGTTTGAGAGTCCCTTCAGTGACAAACTCCATATTATATGGGTCACCTGACCCACATAATATCCCATATAAGATGGGCCAGCAGACTATGGGCTGATGTTATGTATATCCTTGATGTTGATGGGTGGGCCAGGAGGGATATTATTTCCAATGGGGATGGGTGAGCCCATCTATGCCAATGTTATAAATATCCTCAACAATGGCAGATGGGCCAGGAGAAATATTATTACTGATGGAGATGGGTGGGCCCATCTGGGCAATATGTAGAGTAGGATAGACATATATTATAGACAGCTGGGCTAAAGAGAGATGTATGGCAGATATTATTATATAGATGGGTGGGCCAATGGGGTGGTGAAATATTTATTATATATACAGGTGGGCCAATGGGGTGGTGAAATATTTATTATATATATGGGTGGGCCAAGGTGGGGGCATATTATATAGACAGGTGGGCCCAGATACATATCATGTAGACATATGGGCCAAGGTATTGGTATACTATATGGACATATGAGCAATGCTGTTGCACTAGTTTTGATCTGAGTCATCAATGACATTCAGACTCAGATTCTGTCAATGTTGATCAAAGTCAACACAGCCAAGCGCCCTGTCAACTCAGAATCCAGTGATACCTTGGAAGACGGTCCATAGATGTAAGGGCCAAGGTATTTGTATACTATATGGATGTATGGACATATAGGCTGAGGTAGTGATATATATTATATCAATGGGTGGGGCGAGGTAGTTGCTATCACACATAAACATAACTGGGCTTAGATAGTTGGATAAGAAACAAATCAATTTGCTGATGTAGGCACCAGAGAATTGAAGACATGGAGTACATACCCCTATATGAGTGCATATACCTACCATTGACCACAGAAAGCCGAAAACATGAATACACCATGTCTGACATTCACCAAGCACTGAAACCCAACACCCAAAACCCAACACCCAAAACTTGAAACTTGAAACTCAAAACTCATACATTTTTACAAGTTTTGAGTTTTGAGTCTCAAATTACCAAGTACCAAGTCCTGAAACCTGAACATCAAACCCTGAATATCGAAACCTAAAACCCAAAACTTCAAAACTCCAACATCGAAACTCAAAACTCATACATTTTTACAAGTTTCAAGTCTTGAATCACCAAGTCCTGAAACCCAAAAGTCAAAAGTCAAAAAAATATATGAGTTTTGAGTTTCAAGTCTCAAATCACTGAGTACCAACACCTGAAACCAGAACATCAAAACTCAAAACTCTTCACCAAGTACCAAATAATGAGTACTGAAACAACTTTGGGTGTCAGCATTCAGTATTCAGTACTCAATGAAGAGTTTTGAGTTTTGATGTTCAGGTTTCAGGTGTTGGTACTCAGGTTTCAGTACTTGGTACTCAGTACTTGGTGATTTGAGACTCAAGACTTGAAACTTGAAACTCATATTTTTTTGAGTTTCAAGTTTTGGGTTTTGGAACTTGGTGGTTCAAGACTCAAAACTCAAAACTCATACACTTTTACAACTTTTGAGTGTTGGGTTTCAGGTGTCAGGTTTCAGGTTTCAGGACTCAGTGATTCAAGACTTGAAACTCAAAACTTGTAAAAATATGAGTTTTACATTTTTATGACTCCTGAGTCTCAGGTTTTGATGTTTGGGGTTTGATGTTTGGGTTTTGGGACTCAGTGATTTGAGACTTGAAACTTGAAACTTGTAAAAATGTATGAGTTTTGAGTTTTGATGTTTGTTTCTAAGTTTCAGGTTTCAGTACTTGGTACTCAACACTTGGTGATTCAATAAATGGACTGGCAGAGGTAACATTCATTGGAAAACTTGTATATACATCTATCACTATGCAATTATGTAGCCATGTCAACCTCCTCAGAAGATGCTTCAACCTTCACCTCAACATCCATGTCATTGGAAGAATCATATTCTGGGGACAAGGTTGCTCAGATCACCTGGGTCCACAATTTTGCTGGACATATCTGGAACCTCTGGTTGAACAACCTGGTTATACTCAAACAGGAGGCCCTCAATGGCAGAGGCATCCTTGAATTTCAGGGGTGTGGGCATCATCTCTCTCATTGAGAGATCAATGAGAGGAGGGAGTGCAGATTCAAATGGTGACATGGACACAGGGATGGATTGATCAAGCAACAAGGATGTTGCATTGGCTGGAGGTTTGGGAATTGGGAATGTGGGGTGCTGGTTGATGATTTCACGCCTAAGGCCTTCATGGAGGCATTGCAGGGTATCAATCTTACCATCCTGCTCTGCCACATGAGCCTCAAGAATGGTGATGTGAGCTGCACCATCCTGAATCACAATTGCCATGGCATGGAGATCTGGCATGGGCAGGTTGAGTGCTGCAGCAGGGACTGCTAGACCGGGTGCTGGAGCAGGGACTGCTGAACTTGAAGACAGAAGTGCTACAAGGAAAAATCAAGGTCAGACAGTGATGAAAAAAAACTTGGGTGACTTACAAGCTGGTACAGGTGCAGGTGCCTTGATGGCAGTGATGGTCTTGCTGCGACCATGTGTCTGGGTCTTGGGAGTTGTCACAGCAGTGACACCCAGAGTTCTGGACTTGCCATGAGACTGATTGTGAGTTCAGGCCTTGGATTGGAAGGCAGGGGGAGCTTTGGAAGGAGCCTTGGAAGGTGTCCTGGACCTCATGTTCTGGGTGGTAGAGGAAGCATGAATGCATTTCAGTGGGGTACCCAGAGTCACAGGGATGCACTTGATCTTCTTTGTTGTGCAGCGGACACATGACATACATGGATTCCTGGTCCTCTTGTCCAACCAAGTTGTGCAGGGCCAGTTTAGCTTGGTACAAACCTGGCATGGGTTGTTCTGTGGGTTGTGTTAGTGAATGGACACACTTCAGATAAATTAAAGTACTCACCAGTCCAGGAATGAGAATATCACCTGCATTGATGGCTAGGAGTGCCTGCACCAGTGTTTTGGGAGTCAGCTGGGAGGGCTTGATAACTGCCAGGTGACTGCTGGTAATCACCTGCTACATTGTAAGCATACACCCGAGTCCCAAATGCATAAATGTGACTTACTGTAGCAGGGCCAAAGGGTTTTTTCATCACAACCTGGGGTGATCAAGGCGAATTGGAGAGCTGGGGAAGGACAACATCCGGCACTCCACCCAAAAATGGCTACAAGAAAATGTGAGACAAGTCAAAGACGAACCAGATGGCATACCTGAATACTCATGTCTTCCTCATCTTCTGACTCCATGAAGGGCTTAGACTTCACAAAGCAAGATGACTTTGCATGCTTGTGAGTCTTTATCGCAGACTTCAGTGGTTGGGAGGAGAGTACCAAAATCATGGGAGACTTCCTCTTCCAACTCCCTTCCACCTCAGGCTCCAGGTGTTAAGAACCATGTTGCTCAAAGGAGAGAGAGACTGACTCAGAGGGGCTTGGCCTCAGCTCGTACGCTGTGCCCCTTACCCGAGTATGTGCCCTTCATTTCATATGAGGTCCAATGATGGTCCGACAAAGTCCGGAGGATTTCCGGAGGCTGGCTACTCTACTGGAGAGCACTAGAGGACTTCCGGAGGAGTGCGGGAGAGTTCCCACTGCAAGGTAATACTTCTACAGGAAACAGGATGGAAGGATAGGAGATCTGAAGGTCTGGAGGACTGGAGGACAGGAGGGCAGGAGGACAGGATGATGGAGGACAGAAGGACAGGATGTCCGAAGGTACAGAGGGCAGGATGTCCGAAGGTACAGAGGGCAGGATGTCCGAAGGTACAGAGGGCAGGATGTCCGAAGGTACAGAGGGCAGGATGTCCGAAGGTACAGAGGGCAGGATGTCCGAAGGTACAGAGGGCAGGATGTCCGAAGGTACAGAGGGCAGGATGTCCGAAGGTACAGAGGGCAGGATGTCCGAAGGTACAGAGGGCAGGATGTCCGAAGGTACAGAGGGCAGGATGTCCGAAGGTACAGAGGGCAGGATGTCCGAAGGTACAGAGGGCAGGATGTCCGAAGGTACAGAGGGCAGGATGTCCGAAGGTACAGAGGGCAGGATGTCCGAAGGACAGGAGGATAGGATGTCTGAGGGTTAGGAGGACAGAACGTTCGAAGGACAGGATGCCTGGAGGTACGAGGGACAGGAGGTCCGGATGATTGATTGTCTTTGTTTGGTCATGGTTCAACTTTTGGCAATTGCCGGTTTTGTGTTGAACTTTGAAGTTTTTTCAATTATCAGTCAACAAATCAGTAAGTTCCCCACACAACATGAGCCCACAGTCAGCTGTTTGATTTCATGACCCTTTGGTGACCAACTACAATTCAATGGATGTGGATGAGTCCTCTGTGTCCCAGGTATCACTAGGTATGTTGTATTTTTATCATGCCTTATCTATTTACTGGATATCACTTAGATGATTTATACCTTGGGCCAGATGATGACATAGGATATGATTCTGCGTCATCCAGATCACTGGATGTCTTGGCTGCAATAACCAGTGAGTTTATACATTCATTAAGATGGAGGATCACCATTCATGCTCACTAAACCCTTGCAGATCAATCACCTCTGGCTCAAGTTGATCATCCAGGTTCTCCCATCAATCCAGACTTGTATCTCAGGCATGAGGATGATATCATCGATGTTGATGAGTTGCTGGATTCTGCTGATCCTAAGATTGATGCTCTGGCTGCATCAGAAGTGTTTATGTCATGTGAGTCCATTCATTCCAGAGGATTATAGATACTTAATGTATCTCCCAAGCAGACAAAACATCTACTGGACTTCATTCCCAATGGCCAGAGCTCACTAATGAAGATTTACATTTGATGGTCTGGGAGTTCTGACCATTTGGGTCATATGAACACACTGGGTGTGAGTATCTGACACAGTAGATCATTTATCTTTGGGCTAATTTTTCTACAAGTGCAATCTGTTCAAGATCAACTTGGTGATTACAAACACTGTACTGGGGATCTTCTTGATCCTTCCATTCCACTGCTACTTGAGGCCAAGTGACCCTTCCAGATGGCTTGGGCAGAAACTTCTGACAAACTCAGAAAAGCTGATGCAGACCTCCAGAGGTTGCAAAGAGCTCAACAGATGAGCATCAAAATGCTCAAGGTAGTAGATTCCCCGATCAATCAGTTTGAAGATCAAATTCAAATGTAAATTACCAAATTTCTGATAGTAGTCAAATCACATGTAAACTTCCAAATTTTCATTAACATACCCACATCATGTAAACAACTGAATTTGTGACACATTCCTCTTCCATTTCCAATTGAGTTCTGGAGGCTCAGGAGTTCCCAAGTGTCAAACACCAAAGTTTAATTCTCACTTTGGCTCACTGAGTCCCGAGTGTTAAACACCAAAGTTCAATTCTCACTTTACTGAGGATGACTGAGTCCCAAGTTCAATCCAATGATTGAACTCAGGACTTGGTCATCCTCAGTAAAGTGAGAATTGAACTTTGGTATTCAACACTCAGGACTTGGTGAGCCAAAGTGAGAATTAAACTTCAGTGTTCGACACTCAGGAACTCCTGAGCTATAGAGATTGAATAACATTGATATATACATAAAGGCAGGGAGTATAGTATAAGTCCATTACTTCTTTCCCCTTGCTCTAGTCACTCAAGGGGTACTGTCTGATGGCTGTTGCATTGACTTACTCCAGGTTGTCCTTGCTGATGACTTAATCACCACTTTTTTCCCCACATGTTTTTCAGCACCAGAGATGTGTGCCCTTCCATTGCAACATCCTCCTCAACATTGCTGGTGACTCCATCAGTCAACCCAGCCAGGAAGTTGCCCATTTGTGATGTCAGCAGTACACTAGTTTTTGCTGGCTTGACCAGGTGAGGCTTTGGAATTGCATGTAAGACTGCTGTCCCTTCATGTGCTGTTAAAGGACCTGGCTCTCTTCTGGGTCTCTTTTGCAGGGATCTACTGTCAGCCACATCATCATCAGCATCATCCTCCATGTGATGAGAGTCACTCTTGGGATTACTCCTGGGATCACTCTTGGTGTCAGTTGATGAATTCTGAGGCCTTTGGATCATCTGCTTTCTGACTTTATGAGTCCAATAAGAAGGTGAATTCCCAGATGCAACTGATGCTACCATGTCTCCATCTTTGTTCTTCCATGCTTTGAACAGGAATGTTAGACCTTTGCCTTTCTCCTGCCAAGCATGCCAGAAATTAAGTAAGGCCATAGTGTCCCAATTTTGCAACTTGGAAGGCTCCTTCAAGTCCACATTTGCCAGAACATACTTTCTTGCCACAAAATCATCCTGACTTTGTATGATGGCACTCCATGGCATGACTGCCTTGTTGCTCCCAGAACAGATCTCTGTGTCCATGCATTCAACAAATTCTTGGTGTTGTGATGATAGACTCACAATAGTGCAATGTAAGAAATGCCCTCACTATGGCCTTCTTCTTCTCAAGTTCATTCCAGTGATGTCTGGAAGCAATGGCATCCCATCCCCATCAGTTTCCAGTTTGAAAGCAGGCTTTCTGATTCTTTTTTGACCTCCCTTCATCTGTTGTCCTCCATTCCATGTCCCAGCACCTATCATCACAATGATCAACAAATTCCTTCTAATAGCCAGAGTTCAAACACTCACTGAACTGTTCTTGCATGTACTCCTGCCAAACTGGCTCAATGTCCTCCCAGTCCTTCATCTTCATGAAGCTGTCCCCATCTCCTAATGCCTCGTTATCATCATGCCTGCATGAAATGTATTGAGATTGAAGATCTGTGATGACCAACACAATTCACTTACATCCCAAACAGCACCTCACCCTGTTTATTCTTCCAAGCTGACATCACCAACACTCTCATCCCATATTGCCTCCACATCTCCTTCAAAAGTGCTCCATATACACAGGTCCTTTCTTATGAGTGACTTGTGCCTGTATCTTGGAAGGAGGAGAGTTGTTGGACCATTCTTCAGCTGTTTCCTTCACCTTCTCCAACTTGTCATTGGACAATTCAGCCATGACTCTCTTCACAGCCACCTGATAATGCTTGAACATACCAGGACCTCCTGGCTTTGCCCTAGACTCATCCTCGATCCTCTGTAGCACCTCTTCCTGGTTCCACTGGTAGATCACCATCCTAGGTGTCCATTTCCTCCCATACTTTATCATGTTCTCCCTTCCTTCTTTTTCTTGTTGTTGAACAACCAAGTCATGTACTCTGAGCATTGATGGAAGAATGAGATATTGAAATTTTAGTTTTTCAACACAGCAAGGATAAATCACCTGCTCCTCTTCTTCCATTGTGCTTGGTCAACCTTAGGAGCAAATAACCTAGCAGTGAAAACTGCCTGTTTCTCTTTCTTTTTGCTGAAGTACACTCAGGAAGGTAGTTCTTTAACTCTGAAATTTCATTTTCCATGAGCTTCTGTGTCTGTGGTTGACATGCCCCTATGGTCTTCCAGAAGTCAACTGAGTGGAATGACCTGATCTTGCCATGGTGAATCAGATTGCAGAATGGGCTGAGGATAAGCAAGGTGGAAGTAATAATGACAAGTTGAACTTTGAGCAAAGCCTAACAGTTGGTTAATTGACCCATATTGGACACAATGCCATTAATGGAAATGAATTTGTAATGATGCATCAAGACTGCATAACATCATATTGGAACAACATTCATTTGTCCTTCCTGAGCTAATGCTTTGCTTGCAACATCAGAAAATAAGATGAAGATAGGTAGATGCACCCCATGCAAAAATCCCACAGGGTAGAAGCAAGGGGCAGCAAGGTAGGAAAACTTGGGTCAAGGTCCCACTTGTAAGCACAAAATGACATGCCTACAGGTCCATGCCTACTCTCTCCCCAGAATCACCAACACTTCAGCCTGTTAGGCACCACCTCCTTGGGAAGACTTTCCTGACAATGCTTACAAGCATGACCAAGGCTCATTTGAGCCTTTGCAACTCCCAAAAACCATGGCAAGTTCATGTAAAATGTTGGATTGTCATTCAAATGATAGCTAAGCATAAAAAATGCAGAGTCAGAATGACTACCTCAGGCAATGGCTGCCAAGGCAGGAATCATATCTGCATCACCTCCTGGATTGAGAAGCTCTACCAGAAGATAGGAGATGTTGTCTGTGACCAGGATGGTCTACAAATGTCAAGATTGTCTTGGGGAGCCACTATTGCACTGGCTGTTGCAGGAGTCAACATCATTGCAATCCTTTCCACTGGATCAGTCAATGGAA